CTCTAGAGAGCCGCCTGAAAGGTAGGCAATTCGCGCCACAAAACCCCTGTATGTAGGCAACCGACAGTGCATCGCCCCCCCTGTCAGCCGGACCTTAATCCGCCACTGTGATGTGCGTGATGACCCTGGATGGATGCTCTGCCCTGGACTCACCCTCGGCGCGGCGCGGGAGCGTGGCTGAAGGGCCGCGAGGAGGAGTCCGCGGCGTGCAGGAGCGGCGACGGCCTCGGCGAGGGCGGCGCGGAACTGGGGTGGCTGGAGGCGCGGCCGCTCCCCGGCCTGTCCCCGATGGCGTCGGCCAGCCTCTGGAGCTGCGCCACGGACGAGTCCTGCAAGACCACCGGGATGTCACCGCCTGCACTAAGCTTGATGGAGGTTCTATTCTACCGAAAATGTGCCGATATTTCCATGCTAGCTTACTGCCGCACCCCTTAGGAAAGTCAATTATTGGTAAAAAATATGCTGTAACACAACACTAGAACAGTTTTTTGGCAGACGGGAGGGGGTGAAAAACCTGCAACACTGGCGTGTATTCTCCATGAGGCCCAGAAAATCCGTGACAATATCTTCTAGTCTAGGACCAGTGCTATTACACTGGTAAAACAAGTGTGCATAATTTAAACACCAAAGTGTGCAAGTTATGATGTTGCACATTACATGGTGTGCAATTTTAAACATTTGCTAAACGTTTAAATTCTGCACACTTGGACACACACAGTTCTATGCTATCAATAGGAACCATATGGGAACTTTTCGGAAGTGTCGAAAGGTTGAACACCAATTGACGTTTAACCTAGTTAGACACCACAACGTGTCGAGAAAATGCACACTTGAACTTAAACACCAACTGACGTGCAACATTAAACACTTGTTTGACCAGTGTACCATAACAAAATAATCAGCAAGTTATCAAATTCTTACGGAACTTTTTCCAGCTCCTTCATTTGAAGCTTCGAGTCTTCGCAGTACTCCCACGAGTATGAGCCCTTACCGAATGCCGCTGCTGGGGGCTGGAAGCAGTGGCGTCCTTCTTCTGCAGGAGACTCTCGATGGAGAAGAGGTGCGGGGCCGTTTTCGTCACGATCGTAGTCTCGATTTTATTATTGTTGGTATTATTATTGTTGTTGTTGTTATTATTGCAGCACACGTCCTCGTCCATGGGCTCCATCTTGATGTCCATGCCACCTTGCAGCGGCGGGGGCGTGGTGCCGAAGGCGGGGACGCCGTGCCCCCCTCCTCCTCTGCCCCGGAGAAGTGGCGGCCGGTGTGAGTTGTTCGAGCCGCCTGCAATGCAGCAACGCAGCTGAAGCACGGCTGTGGCTGCGAGGACCTCTACGCAACTGCCTTGTCCGGGAGGGCCCGCCCAGGGCTGCGGGCACGGCACAAACACAACACAATCACAGCACAAACGCGGCACGAACACGGCACGAAACTAAACGAGAGCCCGGCGCAGTCAAATCACAGATGCGGTTGCTCTGGCCCTGCGCGCGCGGCGGCAACCCTTCCACGTATGGGTTCGGCGGGAGCACTGCAACGAGGGCCCTTCGTCGCCGTCGTCAGCGTCCTCTCCGTCGTCTGCTACTCCCCCTCCTCCCCTCCCTCTCTCCCGCCCGGTCGCACGGCGCGTGTGTTTTCACATGGGTGACATGTGTAATTGGTTGGGCGGGGCCCAGCCCCAGCCCTAGCCCCAGCCCCGCGCCCCGCCCCGCCACAAATATCTCAAAGAGTGCGGCGGCCGCAGCCTCGGCAGCCAATGGGGGCCGCGGGACGGGCTCCCTCGGGTGCGCCCCCTCGGGCCCTCGGGTGCCGTGGGGCGGGGCCATGGGGGGCGTGCCCGCGGGCCCGGGCCGCGGACCGGCCATGGGTGCACCGAGCACCCCGAGCACCCCGAAGCACTCCGAGCTGCACTATGCAAGGGTGATTGATTACCTCCAGCTATCAAAAACAAGAGGTGTACCGGTGTAAAGACAAAGGTGCTTCGAAGAGGCCGAGACTGACCGCCTTCTGGCGGGCCAAAGACTCGCAGCTGAGCCTGAGCTCGTGTCTCGACGTGCTCCGGTTTGTCCAACTAGGAGGTTCTTGGGACGCGGCTGAAGGGTCGGGGACTGGGGGGTGGACGGAGATGAGCCGTGAACGCCCCGCTATCGTGTGCCTGCTGAGGTAGGTGCCGACAGGAAAGCGGTCTGAAAAACGAAACTCCCTTACCACTCTGGGTTGCCAGGGGCGCAGACGGGGCAGCATCTTTCTCCGATCACTCACTGATGCTCCGCCCCCAAGACGAAACTGACTACCGTCGTGCTCCCCTGCTTAGTTTGGAGACCGGAGACTTTGACGGGCGGGATGCATCTAGCACTTACGTTATTTGACGGGGAAAGTGCTCAACTTCCTATGCATTCTGCTGCAACAGGGAACCATCGGAACGAACGTGCACGAACCTTTGCCAGAGTAATGCGTCCCCAGATGTGACATTTATCGGTTTCGATTACTCGACTACGGATGTACATAAGTGTGGTGCCTATTATTCTTCCGCGCGCCTTCGATTCACCTGAGAAATCACACAGCTGTGACATACGTGAGATCTTGTCCTTGCTCACTGAGCGGGCCGAAAGCTTCTTTAGTTATCCGATTTCCCTGCGACGAATAAGACGTCCCCTCTCTTTTGACAATGCGACTTAGCGTTTATTTTTCTTGGATGTGCCTAGAAGGAGGACATCTGCAGCGATTCATGCTGAAAGCGTTCAGAAGTGTGGTGCGTAAAATCTCTAGCCCAAGAAAAATTAGTGGTTTTTAAACAGAAATCTGCGGAGGTCAAGACCGGCGTTAATCTTCCAAAATGCACCTCTGGAGCAGTGAACAGTGTACCACACAGACAAAAGGATTAACCGTGGCGACCACAATCGCTTCGTTGGGTGCAACTTGGGTGCTTTGTGACGGTTCTGAATAACAGCTGAGAAACTTGTCCTAGTGCAACTGGCTTGGTAGACAATGGCTGATTCCTACAACTGAGTCAGCTTGCACAGAGAATTTGGATGCTAAAACCAAATTGAGTCGATCATCACGATCAACTCGCCTCTCAGAAGCCAGATTTGCCGGAGTTGGCCGTTCCACCGCACCCCTTCCACTCGCTGCGCCGCGGTGGCGCAGTGGCTGGCGGCTGGATAGAAAGCGGAGGTTCGACTCCGGTCGGCGCTCAATCTGTTTCTCCTTGCCTGGTGTCTTCTGTTCACAGTTGACTCACAGCAAGTTGATGGACCGTAGATGAATGAAAGGCTACGGGAAAGGGAGATCCGGGGGAGATCACATATATAATTTGTTATTTTTTCCATTTTTGTTTTAATCGATAGCCTGATCACTGGAACTAACCTTCTGGTCCCCGCGACCATACGCTCCGGTTGTCACGCTCAAGAATTAATATTGTGAAAGTTCTCACGTTGACCGTCTTTCTGATCCTCAGGAGCAACTCTTCCCTTGTTGCAACTAAGTAGTGACTACGAAGCAGTTTGGTTCTTACAATCAGAAAAGTCGATCAAACCGCAAGCGACTAGAAATTCTGGTGGTAGTAATCAACTTCTGATTACCACGACGAATTGTTTTTTTTTTCGTGCAGTCATCACAGTGTAACGAAATATTCCGGAGCCTGTGGGTGACCCTGTATAATGAGGCGTACTCTGCAGCTCTTGTGGCTGTACCTCGGGCTGTGCGTCGTGCTGGCGTGGTGTAAAGTGCTGCAGAAGTCCGTCTCCTTCCAGACGACTACGAAGACGCTCAGCTGCTTTAGCTCCTGCTACAGCGGCTTCGTGGCGCTCACGGTGATCCGTCAGACGCGCTTCTGGGCCATGCTGCACGAGATAAAGAGTCTTGTTCAAGATCTGGAGGAGGACGAGGCGGCAGAAAAGGTTAAAAATATTTTCGTTAATAACAAACTGTTTTGCACCCACTGCCCTTTTACCTCCTATATGGGCTTTTTGAACCCTTTGACATACACAGGTGTGGGTGGCACGCACGCGTCGAATCATCGTCGTGTTCTCCTGCCAGACCGTGACCTTGAGCATTTTCACCGCGGCAAGCGTTGTGCTCCATTTTACAATCTCCGGTGACGACACTATGGTGTACCTCTGGCCGTTCGTGCCTTACGCGGGGTCCTGGGGAGTGTACGTCGCCAGGTTGGTCACTGGCGTCGGCGTGTCCCTAATCGTCCTGACCATATCCTTCGTGGTGATCACCCTGGGCTGCACGACGTCCGCTGCGACCGGCATGCACCACGCCCTGGCGCAAGGCCTCCTCCTCGAGGCCGCGACTCCAGAGGTTGTCGGGAACGCGGTCGCGCTGCACCAAAGGCTGCGCCGCGTCACCTTGGATATGACCGATTTCTTCGCGGCCAACCTGGCCCACGTCATGGCCAGCTCGTTCTTTCACTCGTCTGCCGCCCTTATTCAGGTAGGGGGGCGTTTGTTGTTCCAAATTAGTGGGCGCAAAAATCCCACCTTAAATAGGATACCCTGTACCTGCCTCAATGTTCTGAGATGCGCAGGTGTTGGCCAGCGGAGTGATGACCTCCACTACGGTTTTCCTACTGCTCCGCGTTGTGGTGGTCTTCCTGCAGCTCTCGTACCTCAGCCAGGAGCTGTCCGACTCGAGCCTGCTCCTCCAGGGCTCCGCCTACCGCGCCGCCACCAGCCGCGGCACGGGACCGGCCGAGGCCCGCGCCCTCGTCCTGGTCATGCTGGCCGCGAGCAGGACGCCCGCCCTGAGCTGCAAGGGACTGGGCCGGCTCAGTCTGGCCTCCGCGGGCCGCGCTTTCCGACAGCTGTACTCGGTCGTCAACGTGCTGAAATCGCGGTACTAGAAGGCACTAAGGCATGTGCTGTGCGAAGGATTGTCCAGAAAGTACGATCGTTTTCCTCAGATTGATTCGGCAAATGTCGTGAGCTGGTCGCCTGCGAGGCTCCGGGTAGGCCAGCCCGCAGTACACGCGTGCACTGTCAAGGCAAGACGTTGCCTACCCCCCAGGCGCGATAGGAGCCTGGAGAGGTTCGTGTACGAACGGCGTTATAACGGCGAATGGCGGACACGTACTTTCTGGATAAGAGCGGAAAGAACAAGCTGACGACATGTCAACCGCGTTAGTCGGGTCGAGGTGTGGGAGAATTATCGACAACATATTAAGAAACGAGGTAAAAATGCCACACACAGAAAGTTAAAGTTGAATATTTAGTCAAATAAATCATACCTAAATGGAACAAAATAGACGATGTGAACCAACGGTTGTGGCAACTGTGCTAAGTTTTCTGCTAGGGTGGCCATACACCCTCGTAGGGTGAAAGTCGGTGAAAGTAAACGTCATTTTACTTGTTATTAAGTATTTTTACGATTTAAATTCAAGTCAAATGCCTTAGTTTGAGTTGTAAATGGTAGGCGATACGGAGTCAGACGCGAGGTTTCGACAACTGGTGAGTGTTCCTATGTGTCCCGGGCTGACAGTACTTCTGGTTCTGGTGTACTTCCGTGTCCCCCAAATTCGATTCGTACACCCCTCGCTCGACCCCCACGACGCGACGCGCGAGCGCCATCGACCGCACGCGCCGCCAGTACAGTGTGCGTCAAAAATACGTGGCAATTAGCGCACTTACAATCAATAATTAGACGACGACGCCCTTCCAATTAACAATCAGAGGATGACGCATATCACGACCGGATCGGCCCCCCAGCCGCGGCTCTCAGAGACAGTGCAGTTTCACTCCTCAAACCGCTCAGATCACGCTGGATGTCCGCCGTGTGGAGTTAGCCCGTGTGGAGTGTGGACTATAGTATAACTGCGACATTATTAACTTGAAGTTTTATTATTTACGAACTTCGTTATTCAGTAACTAATCGGAATGATTAGTGGCGTGGACACGAGTGGAGTGAAATCATCGACATTTAGCAAACAGTCATCCAGTGTGATTCATTCAAGCGCCGTGCAGCGTATATACAACCACAAGTACAGAAGAGGCAGGAGTGCTGCATTCTACCTTCCCGCACGATCACGATGCACGGCTCGACAACCTTCCCTTTACAGTAGTAACTCGACATCCCTACAACGAATAAGGAGACGTCTTCCTCTCTTTCGACAATGCGACTCTGCGTTTATCTTTCTTGGCTGTGCCTAGAGGGAGGGCGTGTGCAGAGGTTTATGATGAAAGCATTAAGAAGTAGGGTACGTACGTAAAATCTCTCTCCAATGAAAAATTTGTTGTGTTCTAACAAACAAAATCT